TTTAATAATGGATTTAATGGTGCTCTGTGGGATGTTCAAAGTTTCTGATATTTTTTATAACCCAACCCTGATCTGTACTTCTCCACAACTTTGTCCCTGACCTGTTTGGAGAGCTCCTTGGTCTTCATGGTGCCGCTTGCTTGGTGGTGCCCCTTGCTTAGTGGTGTTGCAGACTCTGGGTTCTTTCAGAATAGGTGTAAATATACTGAGATCATGTGACAGATCATGTGACACTTAGATTGCACACAGGTGGACTTTATTTAACTAATTATTTGACTTCTGAAGGTAATTGGTTGCACCAGATCTTTTTTAGGGGCTTCATAGCAAAGGGGGTGAATACATATGCACGCACCACTTTTCCGTTATTTATTTTTTAGAATTTTTTGAAACAAGTTATTGTTTTCATTTCACTTCACCAATTTGGACTATTTTGTGTATGTCCATTACATTAAATCCAAATAAAAAAATCCATTTAAATTACAGGTTGTAATGCAACAAAATAGGAAAAATGCCAAGGGGGATGAATACTTTTGCAAGGCACTGTACAGTATGCAGAAAACAAACAGAGACTATGATAATACAGCACCAACATTATATTTTGCTGCCAAGCAACCAAGTGTGAACTCTCTCATTTCCTGGCTCTTCTCATACACTATTGTTAGTAGGCATAGAACGTCACCACCCCTTTCTTAAATGTTCACCTTTTATTGCCTTACATCCTGAAATGAAAACACATGAAATTATACTTTTTCCGGCTTTATTTACACACAGTAACCCACAATATCCAAGTAAAAAAAAAAAAAAATCTGAAGATTAATTACAAGTAAAACAGTAAAACACCCTATGAACACCCCCCCCCCCCAAAGGGGCTTTATTACAGACAGAAATAATCCTCAGCCCCCACCCTCCCCCCCACCCCTCAGACGATACCGCAGGTGAAGAAAACGGATGTGGAGGTCCTGGGGTGACATAGTTACACCTGGTCTGCGGTGGTGAGGCCGGTTGGACATACTGCCAAATTCTCTAAGATGACGTTGGAGGCGACTTACGGTAGAGAAATGAACATTAAAATCCCCTGGCAACAGCTCTGGTGGACATTCCTGCAGACAGCATGCCAATTGCTCCCTCAAAACTTCAGACATCTGTGGCATTGTGTTGTGTGACAAAATTGCACATTTTAGAGTGGCCTTTTATTGTCCCCAGCACAAGGTGCACCTGTGTAATGATCATGCTGTTTAATCAGCTTCTTGATATGCCACACCTGTGAGGTGGATGGATTATCTTGGCAAACGAGACATGCTCACTAACAGCAATGTAAACAAATTTGTGCCAAACATTTTAGAGAAATACGCTTTTTGTGCATATGGAATATTTCAGGGATCTTTTATTTCAGCTCATGAAACATGCTGCGTTTACATGTTGCATTTATATTTTTGTTCAGTGTACATAAAGTAAGCACCAAACCCTGCCCTCCTCCACTCCAAACTAGAGTGAGTGAGTGAGTGAGTGGAGGCTGAAAGAGAAATAAAGTGGAGAAAAATGACTACTTCCTCTCAGAGTCCAGCTGTATCCCACTCAGCTCCCAACAGATAGCACTGAACAAGAAGCAGCTTTAGGCCTACCTGACATGTATTGATGTGCTGATCACACACACACACACACACACACACACAGGGTGGAGCCAATGCCGTTTAAGGAGAGGAGGAAAGCACAGGAAGAGGTTGCTGGAGGGTGGAGCTGGTGGAATGTGGGGGATTTTATTGATGCCCTGGGAGGGCTTTTATGCACACAAGCATTAACCCCCCCCCGCAGAATGACTCCAGTGAGTGTTCCCCCCAACTGACACGCACACACACTCTTGGCTATACATCGTTTATTCATCAAAGAACATCAAACCCCTCCTGCTTCTAGACATGTTGACTTTACACTGCAGTGTCCTCCTCTACCAAAGTGTCCATGTCGGTCTGTCTCCCTCCGAGCCAGGTGTGTGTGTGCTATCAGCAGCAATCACATGCAGGTTTGTGGGAGGACTTTTATCAGACGTTTACACACCCAGATCTGACTGGAAAGGTGTTTAAGGTGGAGGAGAGGAGAGAGCATGTGGAGTGTGATGCTTAGTAAGAGGTGGAGATGTATTACAGTGTGACATAGGGCTCTGGTTAAAAGTAGTGCACTATAAAGGGAATAGGGTGCCATTTGGGACAGAACTATGTTGGTGACACATCATTCTGGTATGAGGAGCTCTGTGGTGGAGAGCTCTATATTAACAAAGTGTCTCAGAGTAGGAGTGCTGATCTAGGATCAGTTTTTCCTTTCAGATCATAACGAATAAGACAGGGAGAGACCTGATCCAGCACTTCTACTCTAAAACGATGTGAAACCAGGTGAGAACATCCATTTAGAGAAGAATGGACGAAGTCAGTAATACAGCAGCGGAATGGCAATATTCACACTCCTGCTCAGTCAAAACCCCCATTACATTTGGCTCTGAAATATCTGCAAATCACAGGGATGATTGATTATTAAGGATAAATTAAAATGGCCTGGTCTGGAAAGCAGACACATGATAATAAGATTTGAGACTGATGATTCAGAGACACCTATAGTAGTTAGATCTGTGATTGATGATTCAGACGCCTATAGTAGTTAGACCTGTGACTGATGATTCAGAGACACCTACAGTAGTTAGACCTGTGACTGATGATTCAGAGACCAACCTACAGTAGTTAGACCTGTGACTGATGATTCATAGACACCTACAGTAGTTAGATCTGTGACTGATGATTTAGAGACCAACCTACAGTAGTTAGACCAGTGACTGATGATTCAGAGACACCTACAGTAGTTAGACCTGTGACTGATGATTCAGAGACCAACCTACAGTAGTTAGACCTGTGACTGATGATTCAGAGACACCTATAGTAGTTAGACCTGTGACTGATGATTCAGAGACACCTACAGTAGTTAGATCTGTGACTGATGATTTAGAGACACCTACAGTAGTTAGATCTGTGACTGATGATTCAGAGACACCTACAGTAGTTAGATCTGTGACTGATGATTCAGACGCCTACAGTAGTTAGACCTGTGACTGATGATTCAGAGACACCTACAGTAGTTAGACCTGTGACTGATGATTCAGAGACAAACCTACAGTAGTTAGACCTGTGACTGATGATTCAGAGACACCTACAGTAGTTAGATATGTGACTGATGATTCAGACGCCTACAGTAGTTAGACCTGTGACTGATGATTCAGGGACACCTACAGTAGTTAGACCTGTGACTGATGATTCAGGGACACCTACAGTAGTTAGACCTGTGACTGATGATTCAGAGACACCTACAGTAGTTAGACCTGTGACTGATGATTCAGAGACAAACCTACAGTAGTTAGACCTGTGACTGATGATTCAGAGACACCTACAGTAGTTAGATATGTGACTGATGATTCAGACGCCTACAGTAGTTAGACCTGTGACTGATGATTCAGGGACACCTACAGTAGTTAGACCTGTGACTGATGATTCAGAGACCAACCTACAGTAGTTAGACCTGTGACTGATGATTCAGAGACAAACCTACAGTAGTTAGACCTGTGACTGATGATTCAGAGACACCTACAGTAGTTAGACCTGTGACTGATGATTCAGAGACCAACCTACAGTAGTTAGACCTGTGACTGATGATTCAGAGACACCTACAGTAGTTAGACCTGTGACTGATGATTCAGAGGCACCTACAGTAGTTAGACCTGTGACTGATGATTCAGAGGCACCTACAGTAGTTATATCTGTGATTGATGATTCAGAGACAAACCTACAGTAGTTAGATCTGTGACTGATGATGCAGACACACCTACAGTAGTTAGATCTGTGACTGATGATTCAGAGACAAACCTACAGTAGTTAGATCTGTGACTGATGATGCAGAGACACCTACAGTAGTTAGACCTGTGACTGATGATTCAGAGACCAACCTACAGTAGTTAGACCTGTGACTGATGATTCAGACACCTACAGTAGTTAGACCTGTGACTGATGATGCAGAGAGAGCCAGAGAGAAAGAGATAGACCCATCTAGAAGCTCTGACTGCCAATATTACTGTGAATATGTAATCGCTCTTCCATTAGCATCGCTACCCCACCACAATCCACAACCAGAGGTCAATCCTGGGTTAAAACCAACGATCCATTTACTACAGGCTCATTTCAAAGCCAGGAGTAATCATCTGGAGCAGGCCGTGTCATTAGGAGGGAAACTGAAACCTCTGATCAGGTTGAGTTCAGCCGAGGGGGATGACGGAGACACAAGACAAAAAGGCAGTAAAGACGTTGATGCATATTGCGCCTGGCAAGGGAAGACTAATGCACAGGGCCAATTGATCCAGAGTGTGACATTGGTAGAGAGAGGTAGGTGAGAGAGTAGCCACGTGGAAGGAGATTGGAGGGTACTGCTGGGAGACTTGCTGGCTCCATCTCAACAATCATGTTTTTAGAACTGAGGTGGTGTGAGTTAACAAGTAAATAATGGACTTGTTGGCCATGTTACAGTATAGGGGGGACTTGTTGGCCATGTTACAGTATAGGGGGGACTTGTTGGCCATGTTACAGTATAGGGGGGGACTTGTTGGCCAAGTTACAGTATAGGGGGGACTTGTGGCCATGTTACAGTATAGGGGGTGACTTGTTGGCCATGTTACAGTATAGGGGGGACTTGTTGGCCATGTTACAGTATAGGGGGGACTTGTTGGCCATGTTACAGTATAGGGGGGACTTGTTGGCCATGTTACAGTATAGGGGGGACTTGTTGGCCATGTTACAGTATAGGGGGGGACTTGTTGGCCAAGTTACAGTATAGGGGGGACTTGTTGGCCATGTTACAGTATAGGGGGTGACTTGTTGGCCATGTTACAGTATAGGGGGGACTTGTTGGCCATGTTACAGTATAGGGGGGACTTGTTGGCCATGTTACAGTATAGGGGGGACTTGCTGGCCATGTTACAGTATAGGGGGTGACTTGTTGGCCATGTTACAGTATAGGGGGGACTTGTTGGCCATGTTACAGTATAGGGGGGACTTGTTGGCCATGTTACAGTATAGGGGGGACTTGTTGGCCATGTTACAGTATAGGGGGGGACTTGTTGGCCATGTTACAGTATAGGGGGGGGACTTGTTGGCCATGTTACAGTATAGGGGGGACTTGTTGGCCATGTTACAGTATAGGGGGGACTTGTTGGCCATGTTACAGTATAGGGGGGACTTGTTGGCCATGTTACAGTATAGGGGGGACTTGTTGGCCATGTTACAGTATAGGGGGGACTTGTTGGCCATGTTACAGTATAGGGGGGGGGACTTGTTGGCCATGTTACAGTATAGGGGGGACTTGTTGGCCATGTTACAGTATAGGGGGGGACTTGTTGGCCATGTTACAGTATAGGGGGGACTTGTTGGCCATGTTACAGTATAGGGGGGACTTGTTGGCCATGTTACAGTATAGGGGGGACTTGTTGGCCATGTTACAGTATAGGGGGGGGACTTGTTGGCCATGTTACAGTATAGGGGGGGACTTGTTGGCCATGTTACAGTATAGGGGGGGGGGGCATGTAGGTGGGGGGGGACTTGTTGGCCATGTTACAGTATAGGGGGGGGGACTTGTTGGCCATGTTACAGTATAGGGGGGACTTGTTGGCCATGTTACAGTATAGGGGGGACTTGTTGGCCATGTTACAGTATAGGGGGGGACTTGTTGGCCATGTTACAGTATAGGGGGGGACTTGTTGGCCATGTTACAGTATAGGGGGGACTTGTTGGCCATGTTACAGTATAGGGGGGGACTTGTTGGCCATGTTACAGTATAGGGGGGGACTTGTTGGCCATGTTACAGTATAGGGGGGACTTGTTGGCCATGTTACAGTATAGGGGGGGACTTGTTGGCCATGTTACAGTATAGGGGGGGACTTGTTGGCCATGTTACATGATATAGGGGGGACTTGTTGGCCATGTTACAGTATAGGGGGGACTTGTTGGCCATGTTACAGTATAGGGGGGACTTGTTGGCCATGTTACAGTATAGGGGGGACTTGTTGGCCATGTTACAGTATAGGAGGGTCTTGTTGGCCATGTTACAGTATAGGGGGGACTTGTTGGCCATGTTACAGTATAGGGGGGACTTGTTGGCCATGTTACAGTATAGGAGGGACTTGTTGGCCATGTTACAGTATAGGAGGGACTTGTTCATCTTCCTTCCATGTGCAAAATCAGTTTAGCCACGTCAGATGTATTCCACATTTGGTTAAACTGAACTCATTTAATGTCAATAATTCAGATACAAAATTAAAACCTTAAAAGTAAATCCAATATATTATGAAGAAAAAAAAGGTTAATTGACCAGAAGCAGAAAAAACAGTACCAATGTCAAGATGAAGAGAAATGTTGTGTCCATTTTCCTCCTAGAAAACATGGCATGATTTATGCTGAGTTGCACAGCTGACGGAAACTGTTACAGAACCATGTTAGGTATATAAAGGCAGACATGTACGACCAAGCCAAACGTCCACCTTTAGCCCCTAAGCACTTGTGTAGATCTGAGCGCATTGGACAGCTAAGTCTATAACAAGGCATAGTGCAGCCATGACAACATTTGCTATACCAAGGCTATCCATTCATTCCAGGTCTCCTCAACTGCCTAAAGGGCTATTTGAGACAAAACCTGCAAGGAAAAATGGCTTCCACCTGTGCTTGATGATGGCTACTGACAGAATGCATCGTTCTTCCCCTCCAGTGGTCCTGATTGATTGAAAAACCACAAAGTCATTGAGCAGACTTCCTCAGGCACACAGTAGGGAGGATGGGGGAGCAACATGATGAAGGTGGGAAGCAACATGATGATGAGGAGGAGCAACATGATGATGAGGAGGAGCAACATGATGATGGGGGGAGAAACATGATGATGAGGGGGAAGCAACATACTGCATGTACAAAATGAAAGGAACAAGAAGGATGCTGAAGGCATGGATGGATGGATGGATGGATGGATGGATGGATGGATGGATGAAGAGACACTGGGAAGGGGCATGGTGTCGTTTCTACGCTGCCGACCGTCGTCGGATGACAAGCGCTCCTCTCTGTAGCTGTCCCAGGTAGATCCTCATCTTGGTGCTGTCGCTGGTCTTCCTCACCCAGATCTGAGGGGAAACCCAATCAATAGGCCCCATTATGGTCATTTACTCTAAAGAGAGAGCCTCCGTATAATAAGTGGCATGATGCTCATCATATCAGGAGTTTCAGAACAAAAGGACGTTCCACAATTTATATACTGTATTAAATGTTTTTAAGTCCATTTTAGGAAAACTGCCAATTTATCTATCCTCTCTTCTAGCTCGAAATGAAAACGCATGCAAGCTCAGATCTCAATCTTATTTTATGCTAAGAGTCCCGAAGATTAGAACCGAGCATGGAAAAATTGTCCTTTTATTACTCAGCCGCCTGGTCTTGGAATTCCCTCCAAGCCAACCTAAAACTCCAGGACCTGGTGTCCCTGGAGGAGTTCAAAGGACAAATAGATGAACAGGTTGTTGAGACATGTAGTTGTTTCTAGTTGTTACCCCATGTCACTAGTTTGCATTGCCTTATGTAAGGAAGCATGTTGTTTAACTTCACACAGACACACAGTTTGTTGTTGTATTTATGCTGCTTCCAGTGTCGTCTGTCTGTTGTCCGTTTTCTCATTTTATTTTTAGCCCGTCCCCACAGGAGGCCATGTTGTAAATAATAATTGTTTCTTAATTGAATTGCCTGGTTAAATAAAGAAATACCATAGCACCCACACAATACTTACACTGCACTTCGGACAGACTACTACGACCACCACAACACGATACTAGCAAGTCATGCATCCCTCTAGGATAGAATGGATTTAAGTGGTACAAGCATAGCACTGTAGCTGTGGAAATGGAGAACTGAAACCCACCTCGTTTGTTCCCACTGAGCTGATGACACAGCTGATCTTGGTGTTCTCCTTGGACTCCAGGTGGATGGCCTGGCTCTTATGATACCTGATGGGAACACAACAAGATAAACACAAACTACAAATAGCACAAAACATTAGCAACATAACATTTCCTCACATCCTGGAAAATGAATGCTTGTTGGTTCATGATACTTATCTTACATTGCAGTCTGTAGCAATTTCAGGCATTTCTAAGCAGTGTCCTTCAGAAACCAAGAACATATTACATGTAGCTCATTTAATATTATATGAGCCCCTCTGGAATTGGGTGAGGGGTAAAAGGAGGAATCAGTCCACTCAGATAAGGACTTCTATACCTATAGGATAATATCCTCGAGCACACAATCCCTTAAAGATTCCATTAAATAGATAATCTGACAATGCTGTCATGGAGAGAAACAAAATGTCTGAAAACCAGGTAGTCTTTGATTGTGGCTGAGGAGAGTCCCCCTGAGGTAAGTGGAAAGTAGTGACAGTTGGAACAGACAGAATTAGAAAAGGTATATTTCTTGAAGAACATGCTTGCTTCAGCTGTCTTGCTTTCAAACAAGCACACTAATGAACTGTAATTACTGGGAGAAAGAAGAATACATGTGGTTTCAACCATGGCTATCGAGTCTTCCCATCCTCTCCCCTCAGCCTTTCTTAGCCTAGGTCTGGTGAGACTGGCAGCGAGACTGATAGCAGCAAGCACTTCAGTGTTCACTCAACTGAGCCCCACCTCTCTCACTTCAGAATTTATCAAAGGCTACATGAAAGTCATGGAAAGCCATTTGTAATATCACAGGAGCACATTTCACATTTTCCACTCTTCAAAGGAATTATTAATTGGTGCGTGATGTCCTATGCAGAGAGCTACTCTTTACCCAAAGGGTAGAGGACAGATTATCCCATCCAAGCAAACACTGTCATTTCTGTCAGACTGTGGAACTATCGCCAAACGGCATACTGCGCTTTATGCCAAAACCATGTTAGTAAAATGTAATGTAATTCCATGGTGACAGGTAGAATGAGCCTGCCTGGCCGACATTCCAGCCACCCATTGGTTAATATGAAATATCACCTATTGGGCAGAGGGAATGTTACTATAAACATACTACAAACATGATTACCATTTGTAGAATCTTGTTTTTAAGTCTTTTAACAGACAAATCAGCAAAGCCAAGAATTCTTCAGTAAGTATAGCAGGAGGATTTATAAGGGTGTGGCGCCATCTAGTGGCAAATAAAAGTCGACCGCATCATGAATTAAAATGCTCAGTATTCTATTATAAGGAACCAATTTAGTAGGTCTTATGTTTAGACCAATGTTATTAGTTTATTAAACAGCGATGAACCACAACAGCAGACAATAAAAGTAACAATCTTTTTAAAAGTATGACTGTGATCCTCAACGAAACTCCCCTCTTCGCTGTGCTTTTTAAGCGGTGTAATAAGCCAAATGAAAAAGGAAGATAATTAGTATGCATGTACCATCTCTTGTCGTAGTACAGCTTTCCCTCTTCGATGCGTGCCTCATAGCGCTGTGAGGGGGACTCCATTGGAATGGTGGGCATTTGGTCTGGAGAAGACGGAGACACTGGGGGAGAAAACATGGCGTGAGAAACTAAATCAGTCTAGTGATTTTAAAGTAAATAGTTAATTTACTAAAACGTGGCCCGCCCGGGAGGTCTTGATGTTTAATAATATATCTAAACTTAACATATTTTATTGTAGTCTGAACAGAAATCCTGTATAATAACTTGATTTCTCCTCATTTTGGCTTGATGGCATTTAGACTAACTGAAACAAAACAATCCTAAGAGTAGTAAAAAATTGACTGCTCACATACCTGGACGCTTGGGGGACTTCAGCTGCTTGTTCAGTATTCGCAGATCTTCCATGATCTGGTCATCTGTTAGCAAATAGTTTAGCTGAGGTGTGGAGTGTTAAGGACAACTCATCTCATAATTTGTATTATATATTTCTGTAAAGGGGTAACAACTGTATCCGGTAAGTTTTAACAACCCTGTGAAAATGGGGAAAAAAATGTACATGTAACTAATCAGTCAAGACGAGATTCTTTTGAAGATTGACAGATCTCCACAGTGCCTAACTTGGATCAACCCTGCTGTAGACAAGACAGCAGAGAGATTGGACTTCTAGTAAAGGATATCAGGTGCAGGTTTCCTCCGCTTGTCTGGAATGGGGACTGGATCGTTGGGCCGCCTCCTCAACTTCCGGGTCATGATGGGTTTCACCTCCATGGAATCTACACAGGGGTAATAGGGAATGAGCTCCCTGCCATGCACCCGACACCGTATAAATAGCATTACTAGTTCATCGGTCATTGCACATCGACTTAAATGGGGATGCACATTCTAGTAATTCTATGGCTGACACCCATGTGGGTATAACACAGATAAATATATATTGAACACAGATAAATATATATTGGTATATGTACACTGAGTATACAAAACATTAACAACACCTGCTCTTTCCATGACAGACTGACCAGGTGAATGCTATTTTCCCTTACTGATGTCAACAGTTAAATCCACTTCAATCAGTGTAGATGAAGGGGAGGAGACAGGTTAAAGAAGGATTTTTAAGCCTTGAGACAATTGAGATATGGATTGTGTATGTGTGCCATTCAGAAGGTGAATGGGCAAGACAAAATATTTACGTGCCTTTGAACGGGGTATGGTAGTAGGTGCCAGGTGCACCAGTTTGTGTCAAGAACTGCAACGCTGCTGGGTTTTTCACGCTCAACAGTTTCCAGTGTGTATCAGGAATGGTACACCACCCAAAGGAGATCCAGCCAACTTGACACAACTGTGTGAAGCATTGGAGTCAACATGGACCAGCATCCCTGTGAAACGCTTGACACCTTGTAGTCCATGCCCAGATGAATTAAGGCTGTTCTGGAGGGCAAATGGGGGGGGGGGTTACAACTCAAATGTTATGGAGATTTTTTCTATATATCTATAGTACCAGTCAAAAGTTTGGACACACCTACTCATTCCAGGGCTTTTCTTTATCTTTACTATTTTCTACATTGTAGAATAGTGAAGACAGCAAAACTATGAAATAACACTTGATGACAGCTTTGCACACTCTTTGCATTCTCTCAACCAGCTTCATGAGGTAGTCATTTCAATTAACAGGTGTGCCTTGTTAAAGTCCATTTGTGGAATTTCTTTCCTTCTTAATGTGTTTGAGTCAATCAGTTGTGTTGTAACAAGGTAGGGTTGGGTATACAGAAGACAGTTCCTATTTGGTTAAAGACCAAGTCCATATTATGGCAAGAACAGCTCAAATAAGCAAAGAGAAATGACAGTCTATCATTACTTTAAGACATGAAAGTCAGTCAATCTGGAAAATGTCAAGAACTTTGAAAGTTTCTTCAAGTGCAGTCACAAAAACCATCAAGCGCTATGATGAAACTGGCTCTCATGTGGACCGCCACAGGAAAGGAAGACCCAGAGTTACCTTTGCTGCAGAGGATAAGTTCATTAGAGTTACCAGCCTCAAATTGCAGCCCAAATAAATGCTTCACAGAGTTCAAGTAACAGACATCTCAACATCAACTGTTCAGAGGAGACGGAGTGAATCAGGCCTTCATTGTCAAATTGCTGCGAAGGTCCTCTGTAGCTCAATTGGTAGAGCGTGGCGCTTGTAATGCCAGGGTAGTGGGTTCGATCCCCGGGACCACCCATACGTAAAAATGTATGCACACATGACTAAGTCGCTTTGGATAAAAGCGTCTGCTAAATGGCATATTATTATTATTATTATATTATAAACCACTACTAAAGGACACCAATAAGAGGAAGATACTTTATTGGGCCAAGAAACACGAGCAATGGACATTAGACTGGTGGAAATTTGTCCTGTGGTCTGCTTAGTTAAAATTTTAGACTTTTGGTTCCAACCGCTGTGTCTTTGTGAGACGCAGAATAGGTGAACAGATGATCTCTGCATGTGTGGTTCCCACCGTGAAGCATGGAGGAGGACGTGTGATGGTGCTTTGCTGGTGACGCTGATTTATTTAGAATTCAAGGCACACTTAACCAGCATGGCTACCACAGCATTATGCAGCGATACGCCATCCCATCTGGTTTGGGCTTATCATTTGTTTTTCAGCCGCTGACTGGATTTTTTTGTTTGTCACACCATTCTCGGTAAACCCTAGACACTGTCGTGTGTGAAAAGCCCAGGAGACCATCTGTTTCTGAGATACTGGAACCAGTGCGTCTGGCAACAACGAACATACCACCCTCTCTCTTAGGTCACTCGTTTTGCCCATTCTAACGTTCAATGAAACAGTAACTGAATGCCTCAATGCCTGCTTTATATAGGAGCAAACTATTTTTGTGAACTGGGTGGCGTACCTAATAAACTATGTGTATGCATGTATATGACATTACAGGTTATAACAACATTACTGCACTGAAACGAGATCTTCAATTGAGCGATTAGCATGAAATCTGCAACTCTCCCTCATCTCCAAAACACTTCCATTGTATTGACAGAGGATAAAATAAGTTAGCTTACATAGTCTTCCTCCTCTGCAAAAAAACAACCAACACCCATCATTATTTTTTATCCCCACACCGCCTCTCGGAGAAAGTGAGATGAGAGGAGGGACAGATTTCCCTGTCATCTGATCTTTCTCAGTGATTCTCCTACCGCCTGTCAGCTCCATCGTTAATTTCTCATTCTCTATCATCTTCTTCTTCTCCTCCAGCTCGGCAATTAAGTTTTCCTTCAGCTCAACTTTCTTATCGTCAAACTCTTTCACCGCCGCCTTCTTCTCTTTGATGTAGTTCCTCTCCACCTGTTCTGTCTGAGAGCGAGAGAGAGAGAGAGAGGGGAGAAGACAGAGGGGGAAAGAGATTGACGGGAGGCCCAGAGATGTTCGTGTGGATAGGACATTAAATCGCAGGTGAAGAATTCAATAGAATTTCCATGTTAGGTAATAATATCAAACATGTCTTACCTCAAGTTGGAGAAAGAGATCTATAGGAAAGAAACAGATCAAATACAATGTTAACGCGCATGTTGACTGCATCGTCAGTTAATCCCTGACTGTCAATTTTATTTGATTTTTTACATTTTTAGTCATTTAGCAGACGCTCTTATCCAGAGCGACTTACAGTTAGTGAGTGCATACATTTTCATACTGGCCCCCCGTGGGAATGGAACCCACAACCCTGGCGTTGCAAACACCATGCTCTACCAACTGAGCTACATTGACTTGCAGCATAAAACCTAACCCCCCCCAAAAAAAAGTTGTATTCGTCACGTACACTGTTCACAGCAGGTATAAATGGTGCAGTGAAACGCTTACAAGCTTGCTCCCTCAACAAGGCAGTACACTCTTTGGGTGTTCAAGATCAAATGATACAGAATGAGGTATCTCCATGTGGCAACAACTGAACGGTGAGTGAGTGCCTCCCAAATGGCACCCTATTTCCTATGGGCCCTGGTCAAAAGTAGTGCACTATAATAGGGAGCCATTTAGCGATGAGCACAGTGATCCTATGCAACAACAGTGCTATTTTCTTACCAGCATTACGGAGTCTCTCCTTGTATTGCTGGTCCAGCTTCTTCATTCTCTTCTGGTACTCCTGAAGTGTTCCTGCAGGGAAGAGTTTTATGAAACACAGCATATACACCTAACTTCTAATCCAACAAGTCTCTCAATGCAAAGAGCACCACCTCTGAGGCGCCATCATAGCAGTTGTGCAAAACGATAAAGGTCTGCTCAGCTGCTACTTCAGCACGTGTTGAGATATATGACATTGATAATCACATTGATTGTTAATGCAGGGAGGATAATTCATGGATTATAGGACAGGCTTAATTCATAAAAAAGCAGTGAGGATAATTAGAAACAGAGACACTACCTTCTTGGAGTTGCGTCAACTGCCTTTTCAATGACGCCAGCTTGTCTTGGTACATCCTGCAACCAAATAAAACATCATGATTATCACAACCAACTACTAAATCTGTAAATTGAGTCCTTCAAGACCAGGCTACATTTTGAACATCCCATTTGATCCATGTCAACATCTATTCTATCCAGTGTAACTGTGCATTTGGTGGACAACACTCACTGTTCTTTGATTTCCACATAGTCATCCTCGTCATGTTTTGCCAGGTCAGTTTCACTGGCATCTTCTGTGTCTGAAAAAGGGCCAAAAAAAAAAGCTAACGTCAGTAAGTAGGCCAACAGTTCACCAATATCATATGACATAGGGCCTATGCCAAGAAAACATTTTCAGAACAATTTGTTCAATAACCAAGTCAATTAAATGAGTAATTTTAGGACAAGCTGGAAACAGTAGTAGGATACATGTCTGATAGATGTAGCTACTCAGCCAAGTTACCTTTATTTGGATCACCAATGAGTGCGTTACCAGCCATTTCCCTTTAGACTTACACAAAACTAAACCAACACAAAGTAAAACGAGGTCCTCTGATAAATGTGAATGTTATGTCGTAGGCTAAAATAGCTAGGAAGCAAGCTATAGCCACACGCAAGGTGGCAAGCTAGCTAGCTAAACGTTCAGCTAAATCTTGCTCGTTTCTATCAAAAGGTTAGTAATTAAATGTTACAGACAGAATTGGACACACCGTCAAGTCATTCCAGATTAGTAAACAGTCGTTTCTTAGTTGACCAGCCAGCTAATTCGCAACAAAAGGGTTTACATTGAGTGCCCGAACATTTGCCCCGTTGCTAATGCGTAGCAAGTTGATGAGAGCCAAGTTCGAGTGCGATGTGTCAAACCAGCCAATTTAGCTATTAGCAACGGCTAATTCAAGACTTGGCAACTGAACTGGTTTTAAGTTTGTTAGCTAGATGCAATCTCTGAGTTTTGCCTCTGTGAGATTACGTAGTTAGCTACCTATTTTAGATATCTGACTAACTCGCTAGCTACTGAGTTTGCCAGCTCAAAGCCAAAGGTTTTGCCGGTGACCTGTCAGCTGATGGTAGCTAACGTTAGCTAGTACTGGCTAGCGGCGTAACGTTAACGTTTGCTAGCTAGTTACAATACCAGTGTGAATGGCTGACTTAAGCTTTGACAAGACTAACACAACTCCCCATCAAATACAGTTAAAATAAGTAAGGGTCATTGCTTAATCTGTAGCTCTTCCCAAACTTCACACCACAAATGCAACGTGACATTTGGAATTAGCCTGCATCAGCGCGCGACCGACTTTGGTCGGCCTTAAAACCTAACTAACTTAGCTGTCCCAAACAACCACCTTCATCGGCATCTTAGCACGGACGCAATGACATGGCTGGCCTCAAAATTAACTCCATGCAAGGAGAGCTGAAATTACTAAATCAAATCTAGTTTCTTATACTTCACACCAACAGTTGCAAGACAGTGTCAGAAGAGGACAATCAATGAAATCATATTGGTGGTAAAGCAAATGATAAGCCTTTCTGTCAACCATAACAAATGTTTTACTGAGAATGACTGCCTGTTTGTTCCGAACTTTACTCCAGAATCGAGACTCCAAATCCAATGCACGGTTACCATCACCATTTGCTCCCTCTTCTAGCTATTACGTTAGCGCTATCTGTCCACACCTGACCTGACAACGTTTTGCTGTAGAAGAGTACAGCCAGGTTTGGACGCTAAACATGAAAGTTGAAAAATACATTAACTCCTCCCCAATCTACACTGACAGGTGGCTTGCTTGACAGGGGCGTTTCATTACGCCGAAGCAAGAAAAACGAAACGGGGAGGGACCTACCTGAATTTGTCCAATAGAAACTCTCGTTTAAACTGTTTGGACTCACGATTACACTCCAGTTAACTAACGTTAGCGAACAACTAGCTAGCGTCCGCTTCGTGGTGCACGATCCCCCACGGATTAGAAGCCTGTGTTGTTGGCTAGCTAACGTTAGTTACCCAAGCTAGCGCAAACGTAGACTTTACAGTTCAATGGGGATGGGTTCATTCTCAAAAAATATGTACAAACGTCACACTAGTTTTACTAGACTATTTGAGCAAACTAACGTTAGCGTTTATTAGCAAATATCACAACAAGTGTAGCCAGCTAAAGCTAGCTAACAAATGTGCTACATTGGCGAACCTACCTTCTTCCGAGTCTCTTCCCCTTAAGCTTCGATCATCCTCGTCGTCCACACTATCAAGTTCTTCTTCATCATTGTAATAATCTACCATCGGTGATAGTAAAGTAGAAGCCATTTGATGGCTAGTACAAATGTAAACAACCGTTAGATAAACAATCGATTTGGAATTTGCAGTTCAGAACTAAACAGCGCCTACATCTGTTAAGACCCCATGAGAAGTAAGATGGCCGTCATTGCGCCTGACCAAAATACCTAAAACAAACCTGTACAGATTTTTCAAGAGTCATTTTATCACATCTTTGTGTTATGCATATACCAATTTAATAGTATAATTAAATTGCCTTTTTCCATGTGACAGGGTTAGTTACCAGTATCTTTGCTATATTTGTGCAGTCTAATTAGGCATTTCGAGGTCAGCCCGCCTTTTGCAGAGCACAATATTTTCAGCGAACAGGTTTGCGATTTGTATCAAAATAGTGTGCAATTAAATGCTAGACAGAATTGCATATGCCGTACAGCCAGTCACTCCAAATGAGTAAACCGTCGTTTCTTATTTGACCAGTCAGCTAATTCTCAACAGCAAAGTACCGCATGTTGACTTGCTAGCCCCGATCTTGGCGATTTTGTTATGAATTTACCCAGCTGTGGGTCAATCGTAACAAAATGGCTATCGGGTTAAGGTGCGTGTATTGAAAGTAATTACGTCCCTCACGTTCACATAACTGTCTAGACACTAAAATATGAATATCCCTAAACCTGGGTATTCGAAATAGTTGCTGAGTAAGGTTGTTAACTTTTTGCGGACATTTCACCCACATTTACCTTGACAAAACCATAGGGACCCCACACACTGATTATCCATTATATTGGCCAGATACTCTAGTGGCCGCTCTAACAATCAGGGTTGCCAGGTCGAGCTAAAATTTCTATCCGAATGACCACTAAAAACCAACCCGAAAACTAGCCCGCATTTTTCCCCACAGCAAGAGAGGAGTTGCATATTTATACTGTAAATCCTTTTCCCATAACGTTATCTAGCCAATTAAGGCGGAATATCGCAGTAACTTGTAATGACTTTAGAAGCAAAATTTGGTTTTCCTCAAAATAATATTGCGAGCTATGACATGACGTAATAAATGCATTTGAATATGTAGCAAGAGGAAAGATAATTCACCCTTACACTCGCCAGATAATTTTCCATCAATGGATGTCGATTTAACTCGTTTGACTGCTATGATTAAGCAATAAGGCGCAAGGGGGTATGGTACAGTGCATTCGGAAAGTATTCAGACCCCTTTACTTTTTCCACATTTTGTTATGTTACAGCCTTATTCTAAAATGAATGAAATTGTTTTTTTCTCCTCAACAATCTACAAGCAATACCCCATAATGACAAAGCAATTTTTTTTGCAAATATATTCAAAATAAAAAACTGATATCACATTTACATAAGTATTCAGACCCTTTACTCAGTACTTTGTTGAAGCACCTTTGGCAGCGATTACAGCCTCGAGTCTTCTTGGTTATGACACTACAAGCTTGGCACACCTGTATTTGGGGAGTTTCTCCCATTCTTCTCTGCAAAGCCTCTCAAGCTCTGTCAGGTTGGATGGAGAGCGTCACTGCACAGCTATTTTCAGGTCTCTCCAGAGATGTTCGATCGGGTTCAAGTCCGGGCTCTGGTTGGGCCACTCAAGGACATTCAGAGTCTTGTCCCGAAGCCACTCCTGCGTTGTCTTGGCTGTGTGCTTAGGGTCGTTGTTCTGTTGGAAGGTGAACCTTTGCCCCAGTCTGAGGTCCTGAGCGCAATGGAGCAGGTTTCCATCAAGTATCTCTCTGTACTTTGTCCCATTCATCTTTCCCCTCAATCCTGACTAGTCTCCCATTCGCTGCCGCTGAAATACATCCCCACAGCATGATGCTGCCACCACCATGCTTCACCATAGGGATGGTGCCAGGTTTCCTCAAGACAAAACCTGTTTTCGCTTTGTCATTATGGGGTATTGTGTGTAGATTGATGAGGGACATTTTTTTATTTAATCCATTTTAGAATAATTCTGTAACATAACAAAATGTCGAAAAAGGGAAGGGGTCTGAATACTTTACGAATGCACTGTACATACCCCCACCAGACACACCACTATGGGTTTCTTCACGGTACCCAAACCAAAATCAGATTTAATGGAATGCTCTGCCACAAGGTTACTCAGGCAATAAAACAGGTTTAGCTTTAAAAAACGGTTTGAAAAAAACCCATTGTATCACAGCGCCTCTCCTCTTTCTAAAGATATAATTTAACTGTACTATAAGAATATAAATATGTATATATTAATAGTATAAATAGTATTTTTGTTGTCTCTTGGTGTCTTTCCTATATATAACTCTTATTTTATTTTTGTATTTTGAATTTAATGTAATATCTTATGTTGTTCTTGTCTATTACTGTTCTGTACTTTGTCATGTATTTGTTTTATGTGGACCCCAGGAAGAGTAGCTGCTGCATGTACAGTAGCTAATGGGGATCCTAATCAACTAAACATCGACTCGGTACTGGTACCCCTTGTATATAGCCAAGTTGTCGGTACTCATTGTGTATCTATTATTACTTTTATTATGAAAATGTATGCACTCACTAACTGTAAGTCGCTCTGGATAAGAGCGTCTGCTAAATGACTAAAATGTAAATTATTACGTGTTTTACTTTTCTATTATTTCTCTGTTTTCTTCCTCTCTGCATTGTTGGGAAGGGCCCGTAAGTAAACATTTCACTGTTAGTCCACACATGTTGTTTATTAAGCATGTGACGAATACAATTAGATTAGATTTGATTCCACTATTTGTATGGGGTTGCACTTTACATTTTGGACTTTTATTTTGAAGGAAGTGCAAATTCCAGAAGGACGTTGGCCAACATTCGGATAGAAATGTATTATGTAGAACAAACATGCCTCTGATTCTAAGGAATCATGTCAGTCCTATTCATGGTATTTCTATCTCCAACGTTCCAAAACTGTTTTGTACTGAACATGCCCAGGTGAACATACTGAGCTATATACGTGTAGCTCAGTTGGTAGAGCATGGTGCTTGCAACGCCAGGGTTGTGGGTTCGATTCCCAGGGGGGGCCAGTATGAAAATGTATGCACTCACTAACTGTAAGTCGCTCTGGATAAGAGCGTCTGCTAAATGACTAAAATGTAAATATACGAACCCTGCTCTGCCCATCGCTTATATGTCTGGAAAGCCTCCGCAATTGAAAACGTGTGGTGGGCGGGGTCGCATACCGTGGCGAGGGGCTTCTCGGATAACATGTTTTATGTAAAGTGATATACCAATTAAGTTACACCGAATAACAGTAGAATAATTAGTCACTTGACAGTAATGGGATTGTTACATAGGGAATATACAGCAGGTCGAGCCTGACTATAAAGGCACTCGGCTCTAAAAAAGTCCACTTACTCTGGGCAGTGACGCACACACACTAAAGGAGTCAAAAGGTTGTAGCAGGAAAGCATAACCGAGGAATATGTTTTGAGTAGGGGTTGCTGGGGGGAGTACATTTATTTGTAGGCACAAGGTGTGTGTGAGAGAAAAACGAGAGGGGTGTTGTAATTAAATGATTAAACACAAGATTGTGCCTATTAAAACTGAGCGCAAATGGACAGCAATGCGATCCATCGCAGAGAAAAGCGCTCAACTCGATCCAGCACCAGCGGGTGGAAAGGGCCGCCGCCACTCGCTGGGCCGCGCCCAACACTGTCTTGCTTGCGAGACTAGTCGGCTAGTACGCATGCATAAGTGTTCAACATGGGCAGGAGCAGCCCTGCGAGCCGAGGGCGAAAGAATGCCATGTTCCTTATTTGATATTGTTCCCATTCCCAAGACTATTGCGAGCACTCCTCCAGATCTCTTGATATTCACCACGAGAGAAGAGGGATATTCCAATAGGCAATTTAATTCAAACTACATTTAATTAAATTACCCAAATTATATAATGACTCCTGTGTATACAGAAATAAATAAAACCATTCAAAATAGGCTAATACACCAGGAAGTATAATTTGTCCCCAGATGATCATTCGCTTCTTTAAAAAAATAAGCTGTGGATTGTTTTAAATCACAAGCGCATAGCCTACAGTTGGAAGGCCCAACATTTGGGCAGCGGGCGCGGCAAATACCAAATAGATGATTGTTGAGTTGAGACTGTCAGTGAAAAGCAGCTGAAAAAGGCCCAGGCATATCACAATATTTCAAAATACAGTCACGGGAAAACATAGTTTGGAAAGCAAATGGCTATTGCTGTAAAGAGAAGACAATGAAAATACTCTAATCTGTCTTTTAGTTATCAAAATGATTCTCAATATGAGCAAATAGTAGCCTATCTTATTGGCACCAGCGGAGAGCATCTTCCATATCCCAGGTGAGTGCGCTGTGCGCATATTCACGCTTTATCATTGGGTCAGTCAGTGCCACTTGAAACTTTGTTATTGGACATTATTTTGCTCCTTCAGGTTAGGTGGACTTCATATTGTACAAGTTGTCTCCCCATTTCATAGGTCTGGATTAGATG